GTGTTCTTCAGCTCCACCTACCCTGGCAGACAAACTTAACATAGTCATCCAATCTGTGTTTTATTCCATACTACGGAGCAATTCTCTGACACCAGCTGAGTGTTTTTATCTCTATGTGTCTGGAGACAGCAGCAGACCCCAGGTTAAGGTCTCTGTCCTACAAGGCTGCTGGCTGCCTGCCCCCTGCCCACTTCAGACACCAGTCACAAATTCAGGATCTGAACTTCTGATTGACCATTTATAAACTAGAGATTTCTATGATCCCATTCTTGGGTTCAATTAATTTGCTAGGGTGGCTCATAGAACTCAGAGAAACATTTACTTATGTTTACCAGTTTATTATAAAATAATGTAATTCAGGGAAAGCCAGATGGAAGAAATCCATTGGGCAAGGAATGTGGGAATGAGAAAGAAGCTTCTATGCCCTGATACAAGAGTGCCTGTCTCCTCAAATCCCCATGTGCTCACCAACCCAGAAGCTCTGCAAACCCTGAACCCTGACTTTTTATTTCTTAATGGAGACTTCATTACATAGGCATGACTGATTAAATCATTGAGCATTGGTGATTGAGCTCAATCTCAAGCTCATCTCTCCTCTCTAAGATGGCGGGTAGGGGAATGAGACCAGAAATTCCAACTCTGTAATCACACCTGTTGCTTCTCGTGGCAACCAGCCCATCCTTAGGTCACCTAGGAGCTCTTCAAAAGTCATTTCATTCACATAAGACACTTTCTATCTATCTTCATCACTTAGGAAATTCCAAAGGTTTTAGGAGCTCTGAGGCAGGAGCAGGACAAAGAACAAATGATTAATTTATTATTATAAATCACAATATTGCAGTTCATTATTCAATGATGGTACACCATTCATTTCATTATGTCTACTTTGTCACTTTTATATCACCTCCTGTCTCTGTTGTATGGCCAATGTTCTCACTTATTTCTGTATATATATTGAATATGCTTATTTTAAGTTATTGATCAGTCCCTTCTAATCATACTGCATCAGTTGGTGTTTATTTCTGGCCCTGTGGTCCTATAGTGATGGAAGCGCTTACTCAGCCCTCTCCTTGTCTCACCTGTGAGCTCCTCCCTGTTGGCAGTGTTAGGCTTTAATTGGTTAACTCTACCAGGCCCTGCTCTGCGTCCCTCCCTGTGAGACAATACAGGGGCAGAAAATGAACCCTCACAAGAATTGTCCTCGCCCGAGAGACCCAGGAAAGAGGATAACTGTCACCATGAGGTGTCACCCATCAGGAAACTGGTTTTTAGAGAAAACCAGTACGAGAGGGAGGCACTCTGTTGGTGGAAATACAACCCTGGGCATGGGGGTGGGGGAGAGGCAGAGCAGTGAATGTCTGGGAAGGCTCTGAGATCCACATGCGTTGTGGTTGCTGTGGCACAGCAGCAGCTCCTTGCCCTGCAACATAAAACAACATCCTATGATAAGCCACAAATATCATTCCAAAATCTAATGTGGACTCAGGCAAAAATGTCACTCTGAGAACCACAGAGTGAAAATGTGCCCCTCTCCTGGCTAACATGAGCATCTGCAACTCCTTTTCAACATACAGCTTTGCCTTCTTCCATTTCTCTCTCCTCCTTGATTAAATGTATTCAGAAAACTGAATTAAAGAATTACCTCGGCTACTTAACAGGATCCTATGCAGCACAGACATCTGTTTCTTAAAACTCCCTCTCAAATCACCTAACACAAGGCCAAATCTCAGAAAAACCCTTCCTGACAACCTGTTCCTGAGACGGTATATCATTCACCATTGTATGCAACACCCTGTATATAATAAGTATAAAGTTTAAATAACCTGAAAGGAAGCAAATCAACTTGATTTTGCATCAGGCATGTTTCTGGGGTTTTTGACCAGAGGACCCTGTCATTTCCCATTTATTGTCATTGTCTCACTCACGATATCTCTGTGGGAAAGAGAAGGGGGTTCAAAATCTTAATTCATAGGTATAAAAACTGAGGCTCAGTAAAAATATGTGGTTTGTCTAAACTCACAGTTATGAGCGCAAACCAAGTTTTCTGATTCTAAACCTGCCTCCCAAAAGGGGCCACCCAGGAACACCATTTCCCAAAAGACTCTTGTGCAGTCATCCAGGAGGCAATGAAGGCGTGGCAGGATGGGCTGCACGCCATGCACTCTGAGCGCGGCCCAGGAAGGGCCTCCACAGCACAGCCGAGGCAGTGGAACCCTGCTTCTCAGGTGAGCAAATGCAACTGAAGTAGATGGAAGCTGGCCAAGCTCACACAGCTAAGAAGTAGCAGAGCTGGGACTTCATCCCCAGCAAGAGGAAAGGGGGTACAGAGGGGCAGCCAGTCCTCCTCCGAGTCAGATAGGAAGTATCTCTGAAGCCTCTTGAGGTGAAGTGGGTGTCTGGTGAAGGCACCTGACTAGAGGATTTCTGGGAAGGGTAGGAAGGGGCTAAGTTCCAGAGAAAATACACACAGTGGCCTTATCTCTGAAGTAGAGGGTAGCATGGGTGGGTGATCAGGGGCTGAATCATGCGGAGATGGGTAGATCATGAGGGGAAAGGCCTGCAGGAGACTCTGGAGAACAGGAGGGGCTCAGAGCTGGGGAGCACCCAGAGCAGTGGCTTACCCCTTCCAGCCCAGTTCCAGGAAATGTCAGGGTCTGGAGGGCAGCTTCCTGACCTCTGGATGAAGTGTTCAATAAATCAAATACTGTCATCAAAGCCAGTACATGCAATGTGACCTGCATTCAGCTCCTTTATTTCACCTCCTGTCACTTTGGAAGAGGAACCATGGGGAGGTTTGACTGCCAAAGAGTAGGGAGGAGAGAGGAACAGTTTTCCACAGATTTTTCTAGGTGCTGGATCCCCTGGTCTCTGTCATTTGCTTTAGGAATGCGGTTCTATCACCCTGGACATTTTTTAGGAACAAAGGATGGCATGCAGGAAGTAAGGAAACTAGGCCCTCCACAAGCCAAGGACAGTTCAATCGGAAAAGAACTAGAAGGGACCCTCATCCACCCACATTCCTTCTGTTGTTTGGAAGGCTCTCTACCACCCCCACCACATAGCTCTGCAACATCCGTATGACACTTTCATGATGGGCTCCCTTACCACCCCAGGCTGACACAACATTTTATGACAGCTCTACTAGAAATGTTATTTAGAATTAACTCCATTGAGCTTCATAAAGTTATTGTTCCATTCTCTCTAGACTGTGTTTCTTGACCACCAACACATGATTCAAACCATTTACCCACAAGACACTCATTCTCCTTGCTGCAATTGTTATTTGGCCTTTATTTCTTATATCAGTTAAATTGTACCTAAATATTCAAGTCAGAAACTTGTGAGTCCACAAAAATTCCTCCTTGTTTATCATTTTACATCCAACCAATTCCCAAGTTCCCTCAAAGAGGCCTTGCACATGTTCTTGAACATGTCTACCTCCCTGACCCACTACTACCACCTTCATTCTGGCCACCGTCACCGGCTCTTTGAATGACAGTAGGTGCCTCCATGCTGGTCTGATTTATTTTTTCAAAGCTGTTCCCCTCCAATCCTTCTCCACACTGTGGTCAGAAGAAGCTTTCAAAATTCAAGTCTGATTATCTCTCCTCTATTGAAATTCCTCTAATGATCCTTTAAATCATTAAAAAAGTTATAATCCTCCTGTCCATCTGCTCATGCCTTCTCTCTCACCCCCTGGATCTTACCCCGTACGCACAGTCAGGCTGAGTAGCACTATCCCTGGGGACCTGGCCTCCTTTGTCTCACTTTTGAGCCATTACACAGACTATTCACAGTGTGAGACTTGGACAAAACTCTGAAGGGAGAAAGAATAGTTTTGGAAACCCTCCAACTTCCTTGCAAGCCCTTTTGGAAAATTAAAAAAAAAATTTAATTTCATACATAAGTGGAAAAAATAGTAAAGAAAGGTCTCATGTATCCTTCACCCATTTTCCACCAGTGATAGAATCTGAGATACCACAGTACAAGTATCAAAACCGGGAAGTTGACCCTGGAACAATACAACAATAAGATACAGATTTTATTTGGACTTAACAATTATTTACCTGTATTCTCTTGTTTCTTGGTGTATAGCTCTATGAACTTTTTTCACAATCTTAGGTTTGTATAACAACCACAATTAAGATGCAGAACTATTCCATCACCCCCAAGGAAGCTTGTCCACGCTGTAAGTGTAGAGTTATATCCTCCCTGTTCCCTGATTCCTGCCAACTACCTGTTCTCTATTATTAGAAGTTTGTCATTTCAACAATGCTATACAAAAAACATACAATTTGCAAATTTTTGAGGTTATATTTCTTTTATCCAACATAATGCCTTTGAGATTCATTCAAGCTATTTTATGAATCAATAGTCTTTTTTTTTCCCTGTGAGTTTTCTACAGTTTATATATATCCATTCATTTGTTAAAAAATAATTGGGTTATTTCTGACTCTTAAAAATGAAGCTTCCAAAATGTGGTATTTACATATAATGGAATATTACTCAGTCTTAAAAAGGAAGAAATTTTTTATATATGCTGCAACATGGATGAATTCTGAAGACATTATGCTAAGTGAAATAAGCCAGGCACAAAAAGATGAATATCATATGATTCCACTAACTTTAGGTACCGAGAGTAGTCAGCTTCATAGGAACACAAAGGAGAACAGCAGTAACCAGGGGCTGAGTGGTAAGAGTTGGGATGGGAAATTATCTTTTAGTGCATACAGAGTTTCAGCCAGGGATGCTGACCGTTCAGGAGATGATTGGTGGTAAAAATTGCACAACAATATAAATGTAATTAATGCTGCTGAATTGTATATCTAATACTGATCAAAATGGTAAATATGATATATATTTTGCCACAATAAACAATGGATGGCAATGTGAAGGACGATTTTTGTTTCTTATGAAAGCACAGAGGTGCTGAGCACGGTGCCAACAGGGGTTGTTTATTAATCTGAGGTCGAAGGCCAGGCCAGCCTGCCTCAGTTCACAAGGCTGACAGAGACTTAAAATCGCGGAGTCCAGCCTCCTTCCCCGCCTGGAAACATCTGCTAGAGCCCCTTGCTGGAGGGCCAGCTTCATTGTCTTCGCATCCCTGTAAGTGCTTGCTGGTGAATGGTTCTAGGGTCCTGGATTTGTCTGGACACTTTACTTGCCCTTGGAGGTCTAGAGGAGGCTTTCTGAAAGGTGGAGGTGGGGCGATGGCTGAAGGAAGCTATGCAGGACTTTCTCTTTCTCTGCTCGTGCTGGGGCACCTGTGACTTTCCTGGGTTTACCTGACCATTTGCAAATAAGGCCACTTCCATTTTCAAAGATAGCCATAAAGAATTAGAAAGTTAGCCACAAAGCTGGGCTACTGAGGTTTCCTGAGAAATGGTAGTTTTGAATGAGAGCTTGGAAGGATGCATGAAATACTAAGATCAAGAAATGTGAGGGGGAGTTAAGGAAGGTGGTAATCACCAGTATTTTTGACACACAACACAGGAAATTTCTGCCAGGAACTGGAGAGGGACCTGACACCCTGCCAGGGACAAGGTAGTGAGAAATTTCCAGAGAAAATGCTATTCTTGGTAAGTCCCTCTTGCAGTGGGAAATAAAACTTCCAGAGGAAACAAGCTCAAGTTGATTCTGGGCGGGGTTAATGACTAGTCGTGACTCTCCATCTCTGGATCACCAGCCCACAGCTTAGTCCCTGCCATTGAGTTAATGCTGGTTAACTGGCCCTGAAGGACAACCACCTGCCCAGATGTGAGGATGGGATGCAGACGGCAGATGGGCCCAAAGGGGAGAATTGCGGGAAGGGGGAGCTGCTACAGATCCCTGGATCTCCATTCACTTCCACCCCCTACGCCAACAGGAAATGGATGTGCTGGCAATGTAGGCCTATTTTCTTTCATAAATTACTTGGGAAGAATTCTCACAGCCTTCTAGTGGTCATAACAGGGGCCTGAGGCACTTGTGACCTCCTTTCTAGAGATCCCACTGCATATTGTGCCTACTTTTGTTAAAGTACTCATCACACAATATCAAAAGGAAAATTTAGTTTCCCAAGTCCCCAGTCTAGAGGCAGGAACGGGTAGGTCATCCATCTCTACTCTACATCTCTGCACAGTGCAGGTTAGAGGACAGGAAATGATTAGTAAATTCATGTTGATTGACGGAGCAAGATGAGATCATCTTCTTTAACTTTCCACACACCAAGGTGAGGACCACGTCTCTGCTTCCATTGCTCTCTCTCCTTCTCCTGAGTGTGGTGACAGCATCTTGCTCAGAAACAGAACCCTGCGAGAAGCCCCCACAGATCTGCCCTGTGATCACCTGCGGTTCTCCAGGCATTAACGGCTTCCCAGGCAAAGACGGGCATGACGGTGCCAAGGGAGAAAAGGGAGAGCCAGGTATAGCTTGGTTTGTTCTATTTCTGTGACTCTTGACCTTCCAGACAAACTGCTTGGGGATGAGACAGTACTGTCCTATTTATGTAGGTTGCATTTCTCTCAACTACACATTATATAACTCAAAACAGATACGGCTCTGACTCTCTGGCATCCTGGACTGCCCCACGGGAGTTGGTGACAGGTGATTATCCTGGCTGCTCAGAGAGTTGGCTTCATGGCAGGCCATCCTGGGTATATGGGAGGATTTTCTTCTCTGAGTCAGTGGAAGCAGTGACTTAGAAAGTTGGCCCTGGATTAATGTCTTTTTTCTCCTGGGAAGGGATTGGACATCAAACTCTTGGAGAAGTAAAGCAAAAACACAGATACTAATTGACATTTCTTTCATCTTCCAATAGGCCAAGGGCTCAAAGGTGTGCAGGGTCCTCCTGGAAAGGTGGGACCTCCAGGAAATCCAGGGGTCCCTGGGTTACCAGGAGGAGTGGGCCAAAAAGGTGACCCTGGGCAATGTCCAGGTAAGAAGCTAACTGTAACTACCAGGCTGAGGGCACCCAGGGTCCTGGGACTTTGAGTACCAGGTGGGAGATGGCCCTACTCCTGCTGCTTCATGGAAAGATGCCCAACCCTGCTTCCTGACCCAGCACCCTCAGCCCTTTCCAGGGGATTCCTCTCGGTCCCTGATCCCTCAGATTTGCAAACCCTACAGGGCTACTTCTTCACCAGGCACCCTCTGAAAGAGCTGGGTCCTGGCTTTTCTTTAGTTGACACAATTCAAGGCTCTGGTCCAAAAAGAGAAAAAATAGACCACATATGTGTTGGGTATATAATGTCTGCTTTCACAACAGTGGTATAGACATGGTATGTCAGTTATCCTTCATTTCATGAGAAATAAACAAACAAAAGAAACCAGAGCCATTTATTTAAATCACAATTCTGTGAATGTGCCCACTGATTTCTCAGCTGATCGCAACTGGACCCACCCATGTGTCTGTGGTTAGCTGATGACCAATTATCTCACTTACGTCTGGCTGTTGTTTACTTGTCAGCTGGAGTGATGAGAGTAATTGACCCACAGGTCTCTCATCCTCCAACAGGCTAGCCCAGCTTGTTCACATAGCGGTCATTACAAGATTCCCAATGTACATTATTGCTTCTGTCGCATTCTGTTAGTAAAACAAGTCACAAGTCCAGCCCAGATTCAGGGAGTGGGGAAATAGACTCCCTTTCTTAATGAGAGAAGCTGCCCCATATTGAGGCCATGTTTGCTATCTGTTACACATGACCTGTCTTATGCTCTCCCTGTTAAATAATGTGCAGCTCACAAATATCTTGGTTTACTGATGAATAGAACAAACTGGGAAAAACAAACAAAAAACAACAAAAACAAACCCTTCCTGAAGACAAAACCTAGTAATCTTCTTAGTCTATATTCACCAGCACATAATAATTCCCCACGAGACTTCTTTTTTATTCATGACAGAGCTGTTCATTTGAAAAACAATGAGTGAATAGCTTGGTGTATGGAGTGCTGTCATGGCTCGGTCATCGGGGAGTGCATGTGTATTCATGGACGTGCGTGCGTGTGTGTGTGTGTGTGTGTGTAAAGTGCCTTTAAATACATTCAACAAATGATGAATGATGTTTTGGGCTAGATGGAAAGAAAGATACTTTTCCTTCTTAATACTTTTTATTTTCCTTCAAAGAGCAAATCAATGTATAAGAATTTTATTTTAATTTTGAAAAAAAAAACCTTACCCACTTGTATTTCTGAAATCCCTCACCAATGTTCTTCCACTGTTTTAATTTCCAAGATTGTGATAATGACCTGGCGGCGTCTGAAAGAGAAGCTCTGCGGTCACAACTGAACCATATCAAAAATTGTAAGCTTTCTCTCTTCCATTTCAGGCAACTTGCAGTTTAGGGAGATGGAGGGTCACAAATATTTATTAAAACATACAATTTTCTAGTGCCTAAATAGGTGTTTCTCATTTTCTGATCTGATAAATTTATTCCAATCTTTTAGTAGAAATAGAAGCTAAGAGAAATCAAATAACTTGCTCAAATGCACAGAGCTAGTGAGTGGCAGATGTAGTTTATATAATGAAGTCAATCTGACTCCAGAGACCCCATCCTGTCCTCCTGACTCTCAGGGTGCGTACATGTCACTGAGAATGGGGCCTGTGCCACCTTCCTTTGCTATGCTAGTGTTGGGACCTGACAGTGGCGCCTCGCCTGTTCCTTCTGTGCCCCCTTGGCCTGAGGCAAATATGCTCTGGCATTTTTCTTTATTCTCAAGTTAATATTGGGGTAAAATTCAGAGTTACCAATTACATATGTTCTAGAACTCTCATCCAAAAACAAAACAAAACAAAACAAAAAAATACCCCACAGGACTTTGTTCCAGTCTGTCTTCAGGTTTGATTTGCCAGATATAACATATAAAAGAACAGGACACCTAGTTAAATTTGAATTTCAGGTAAAGAACAACTAATTTCTTTTTTTATAAGTACATCCCCAAAATTTCCTGGGAGATACTTATAAAAAAATTCATTGTTTACCTGAAATTCAAGTTAACTGGATACGCTGTATTTCAGGTGACAATTCTTCTCTAAAAGCCTTTATCCAGAAAAATAACTTGGGCTGGGCTTAAAGACAAGCCCATGCCACCCACATTTTTCCCCTTTTAGTGCTGATCTTCTCTGTGGGTAAACAAGTTGGAAGAAAGGTTTTCTTCACCAATGGCGAAAAGAAGAACTTTGAAGAAGTGAAGGCACTGTGCGCCCAGTTCCAGGGCTCTGTGGCCACCCCCAAGAATGCTCAAGAGAACGAAGCCATCCTGGATATAGCCAAAGGAGAGGCCTACCTGGGCATCACAGATGTGGAGACCGAAGGCCATTTTGTGGATTTGACAAGAAAGAGACTGACCTACAAAAACTGGGATGACGGTGAGCCCAATGATACTGGCTCTAACGAAGACTGTGTGGTAATCCTGACAAAGAACAGGAAGTGGAATGATGTCCCCTGCTCAGATTCCTTTTTGACAGTTTGTGAGATCCATGTCTGAGGAAGCATGTCCCTCAGGCCCTCCTGTCCCTTAACCTCATCTCAGGCCCACAGTTTGCTTTAAAAGATAAATCTATACCAATTTTTCCATACCCAGTATTGATTTGTCCCTTTGTGGGGAATCAGAGAAAGTGAGAAGAATGGACTGAAGGCGGGGATGTGGGAGTGAGAAGTGAGAAGAAAGTGGCAGGAGTACAGTGAGAGTTTCTCACTCAGACCCAATTGCTAACAATAATCGCTAACAACAACAACAAAATCATAACAGTAGCAGTAAGTAGAAGCAGCAACAGAAGTACTGATAATATATTTTTAATGTTTCTTATGACTCAGACCCTATATTATGCATCTTATATTAATTATCTGTACTATATAATCTATGTAATATTAGTATAATTATATAATATTATTTTTAATTAGGCTATGCACTTTTGTTTCACCAGTGTTGGCTTGCTAAGGTATTGTATAAAAATAAAATGGATTTATTTTTCCACTTACCATAAACACCTGTGTCTTGTCAAGCCTTCCTTTCTCTTTGGGTAGAGGGCTCCACTAGGTACATCCCCCAGCCTAACTCCATGGCTTTGCGGCCAGTCTCAGGTATGAAGAGAATCTATTTTGTCGCTTTCTTAATGAACTGTATTTTCTTTTCTTTTATAGTTTATTTCCTTCATGAACTATATAAGATTTTCTTTTCTTTTTTATCAATAGAGATACTGAACTATGTAAAGAACATAAATTTCAAGTTAACTAATAAACACATTCTTCTAACTACCTTCTAGATCAAGATACAGGACTCCTCTAGCACACCAGAAACCCCTTCATAATTCCCCAGGTTGATTTTTACAAAGTAAAATCTATTCTGACCTCTATCATAATACGTTAATTTTGTCCATTTAATAACTTCACATAGGTGGAATCAAACATGAATACATACATACATACTGCAATATTTCCCTTTTCATTCAAAATTGACCTATGAAATTCATTCATGCTGTTCCATGTTAGCAAGAAATTCTTCATTTTCATTGCCATGTAGCGTTCCACTATATGAATATACCTCAGTTTTATTTTTAATAAATCCTTGGTCTGCTTCCAATTTTTGACCAATAAGAAAAAACTCATGAAAATTTCTGTATTTGTCTTTTGGTAGACATAGGCACTAATTTCTCTCAGTTATCTATCCAGGAGTAGAATTAGTGGGTCACAGGATAAGTATGTGTTTAGCTTTAATAGATACTGCCAGATTCCCAAAGTGATCAAATGGACTTATACTCCCACCAGCAATGTGTGTTAGTTGTAGTTGCTCTACATACTTGTGAAGAGCTGGTATTTTTGGTTCTTTTAATTTTGGCCATCCTTGAGGTTATAAAGTGATATCTCATGATGGCTTTACTCTCTGTTTCCATGACATGTAATATTTTGAAGATTTTTTCATTGGCTTTTAACTACTTGGATATCTTCTTTTGTGAAGTACTTAGTCAAGTCTTTTTGTAATTTTATTAGATTAAGTATCCAGTATCTTTCTTATTGATTTGTAAGAGTTATTTTTATATTTTGAATATAAGTCCTTTTTGTTTATATGTTTCATAAATAGTTTTCAATTTTGTGGCATGTTCCCAACATTGACTTTTGATGAACAGAGTTCTTAATTTTATCAAATTCCAAAGTATCAATATTTTCCTTCAAATTTAGTACTTTTTATGTCCTGTTTAAAAAATCTTAGCTCAAGATCATAAAGATATTTTCATATTTTAGTAGTTTATTGCTAAAACTTCTATTTATCCCTTTTAGATATCTACACGATACAGTATTACTATTGTTGGAAAGACAATTCTTCTTCCACAGCCATTAAAACGGAGTAGTATGTTTTTATAAAATTGTGCATATGTTTCTGGGCTTTCTGTAGTATTCTTCTGGTTTAGTTGTTGATGCATGTGCCAAATACTACATTATTTCAATTACTGTACTTTTAAAATAAGAACTGATATGTGGTAGTGTAGGTCTTCCAGCTTTGTTCTTCTTCAAGGTTGTGTTGGCTTTCCTTAATTATTTGCATTTCCATATAAATTTTAGAACCAACTTTTCAATTCCCACAAAAACCTGATAGGTTCCTATAGGGACTGCACTGATTCTTTCCATCAATTTAGGCAAAACTGACAACTAACTTGAGTCTCCAATCAATGATCACAATATAATTCTTTTAACTAGGATTTTTAAAAATTTCTTTTGTGTTTGAAGTTTTTAATTTGGAGGTCTTTCATATCTTGTTTTGGTGGTTTTAAAAATAAGATGATTTTATAATTTTTATTTTCTACCATTTGTAATTATTTCTGCAGAAATACAATTAATTTTTATATATGACATTATTGTTAGTAAATTCAATATATTCATTTCTTAATTCTAAAAATTCATAAATTCTTCTGTATGTTCTATATATACAGTAATGTAATCTGATATCATGGAGTTACTTCTTTTCCGATTCATAAATCTTTTTCTCTTCTTGTTTTTTAGAGTGGTTATCAACCTTAATGCAGTATTGAACAGAACTAGTGAACATCCTTACCTACTTCATTAAGATGATTTTGTTTTATTTAAGTTATTCAGTCTTCAATTTATTTAAAATTTCAAACTCATATTTAACTCAACTCTCTTCTTTTCCTACCTACCCCTTTATGCTGCTGGGGCTTATAGGTAAGGGTAGAGTCCTACCTTCTGTCACTCCATCCATGTTTCCTTGAATACAGTTTTCAGGCATTGGAGTGAAAGGAGGGATGATGATTCTTAAAATGACTAGTTGTGCTGACTATATGTTCTCTCTCTGTTTTTACCACCACTGGCCTAGCTCCTCATCAGTAAATCCCCTATGGATGGATGGAGCCTCTAACTAACTTGCTAAAGATGAGATCAATCCCAATTCCCCTTCACATAGCTGTCCCCTGTGAGAATGTCCTATACCTTAAAGCTGCTCTAAGTATTCTTCAGTGACACTTAACCATGTCCAAAACTAATCCTCACACTTGAAGGATTATTTGTCAACCTTGTGAAAATCCAAATATCCCCAAAAGTGGTTCCTGGAGATGTGCTCAATTATTTAAATTCTGGCAGCACAGAATTTGTTCCCTGGAAGATTTTAAAGTTTATGGGGTACTCCTGTTAGGGCACAAGATATGAGAGACTCCAGCCTCATGAATCCCCAGATTCATGACAGATGGAAGAATCGCTCCAGACATCGGTTGCCTGTCAAGGAAAGGGGAAGGTGATTCCCTCTAGTGGGGAATGCCCCAGCCCCTGTGCTCAATGGCTTTTATTGAAAGGGTTACCAGCAGGGGATAGGTAGCAGGAATGTATAGGTAATCTAATTACATCCGTATCATAATATTTACAGAGAATAGGTGATGTTTGAAGAAGACAAATGTCAGGAAACACACCAAATTGCTTGGTTCTGAGATGAGTGTAAATGTTATGGCTCCAAATGGTTTAGGGTCAGGGTCCATGAATAATGTAAATTTCCTTCCCAGTATGAGCCAACTATCTGGTGTGAGAATAAGCAGAGCTTGAGTGTTGGGAAACACCCTGTCTGGTTTCAAGAACTCTAACCCTGCTGACAGGCTAGAGGGCCCCAAAGCTGGAAATAACCAGGAGGCCTTGGAGAAACAGGCTCTTGAGGAGACATAACCTGTCCCCCCTGGCAGGGGTGTAGCCCCTGTGTCTCTGCTTTGCCATGGATGAATGGTTATCAAAGACAGGTAAGTTACCTTGAGCTGAGGTATACAACCTAAGACAGATGCTGATCAAATATTGGCAGCAGACAAGAAAGTGGGGGACACAGAGAAAGGGTAAGAAGGCCCGCACCCCTGGCTCGGCTTGGCCTTGGCTAGAGTCCTCATTTTATCCGAAAGCAGTGGCCTTGTCTCTTGGCAGCTCCCTCCCCGCATCTGGCTCAGGCTTGAAACAATAGAGGAATCAGCCCTAAATGAGATCTGGCAGTTCCCAGGGAAATCAGGCCTAAAAGTATTCTTTAATGTGTGTTTTGTTCTTCCCTCAAAAGCTATAGCCAGCTCATGCTAGGAAGAAAATTTACATTATTCACAGACCCTAACCCTATACCCTTAGGCACTCATGTTTACTATGCTCTCATGTTTAGTTGTCTATCTTGTTTACTAGTCTCCTCTCAGACCCATGGAAATCAGTGAGTTCCTACCATTTGTTTTCTTCAAAACATCACCCATTCTCTGTGAACATTAACATATGGATGTAATGAGATAACCTGTGCATTCCTGTTAACTTAGCCCCACTGATAACCTTTTCAATAAAAGCCTTTGAATAAAGAGACTCAGGGCCTTTCCCACTAGAGGGGTGTGCCACGTCCCCTCTCCTGGCAGAGAAATGTTTGCGATGACTCATGTTTATTCCCCCCCATCTGTGACAACCCTGGGAGGGGTTTTCTGTGGAACTCAGAGCCCTGCTCCCATCTCATCTGGCCCTGGATGGTTTCCCTCAGAACCTGGAAGTGCCACGTTCCCTGTGATGCGCTCTGCCCCCCTGACACCGCAGCTGCTGACTGACCAGGGAGGAGTGGCGACCCAAGTAGCGTTTTCCATGGCAGCGCACCCTGTCTCTCCACTGCACAATGCAACTCTTGAGGGAGAAACAAAGCATGCTTCAAGGAGTGTAATTTACTTCTAGGCCTGATTTCCCCTGGGGGCCCTTCGAGCTATTATCAGGCCCTGCTTATCGACTGCACTACCAGTTTTCAGGCCAATACTAACTGAGCCTCTCCCAGGCCCCAGCTTGCATGGGACTATAGTCCCCAATACCACTCAAAGCAACCCCCAACAAAAGTTGACAGAAATTACTTGGAGATATTTGAGCTGATGGACTTGTTGAAAGAAAGTCAGATCATTTCCTAATGTAGGAGTCAAATAATTGATAGAAACAATAAACACTGTACAATTTTAGTCACTCTCTTCCCATGTTCAATATTGATGGGTTGCTAAGGACACTTCTGCTATTGTGCTAAGTTTCCAGAGACCACCAGAACAGCCATAGACAATGGAAAGATAATAAAATAAAGTGTTTCAGAATAAGAGTTCTCCAGTTAGGCCTATCCGAACTGGATTCACAGTTCTATCATTTAATGGCAATGTGATATTGAATCAGTAACTTAACTTCTCTGTGTCAAGCCATTTACTTGCAACTGGAAAAAAGTAATGATCCTTATTACATAAGAATTATTGAGACAATTAAATAAGTCAATACCTTTAAAGTGTTTAGTAGAGTGCCAGATGCTTCAGGTTAAATCTTAATCCACTCAGTCATATTTCTAGGTATATTTTTAAATGAGATTATATGGTTGG